GGCCAATCCGCGCAGAATAGAACCAAACAGAAAGACAGAACTCAGAACTGTGAAGAGAGATGAAATGGTAATAGGAAAAACTGACCGAAACTACTAATTAAACAACTCAGACCTGTGAAAGAAGCCTAGGAACCACCCTGACTCCATCCCAAAGACCAAACTTGAAATCATGGGCATCGAAGAAGGAGGAAGAGTCAAAGCGAAGGGAGCGTAATATTTCAACAAAATAAAACGAAAATTTCCCAAATCTAGAGAAAGATAGTCCCTACAAATGCAAGAGGCCTCCAGGACACTCAAACAGACCAGAATCAAAATAGACTACTGACTCCACGAATATCATCATTAAAACAACAAGTTCAGAAACAAGACAAGATATTGAAGGCTGCAGAGAGAAAAAACAGTAACAACAAAGGTCAAACCAATCAAAATCACAGTCAGACTTCTCAACAGCAAACATAAAAAGCAAGAAGAGCGTGGGTGAGATCTTGCGGCACGATGAAAATAACTTCAACCCAGGATACCTAACCAAGCAAAGCTATAAGTCAAAATAGATGGAGCATAAACGTTCCCATGAAGCAGAAACTAAAACAATATGGACCACTAAAAGCCACCATTAAAAGATCGCAAGGGAATCCTGCACACAGAAAGTTGACACCCAACTAACGGCATGTAAAGGCAGGACAGCACCGAAACCACAGGTTAGAAAAAGCAAGACAAGTAGAGAGCTAACACAAGTTAGGTACCACACAGATCAAACTTGCAAACAATAAGATAACGAAAATGGGCAGGAATCAACCACCATACTCTATCAGTAACTTAACATAATGTAAGGAGCTAATTCACGCCATCAAAAAACCACCGTTTGACAAAATGGATAAAAAAGAAGATCCAACAATTGTTGCTTACAGGAGACTCAATTCACCGACAGAAATAAGCATATCTTAGGATGAAAGGCTGAAGAAGATTTTACCAAGCAATGGCCCCCGAACAACAAGCGGAGTAGCAATACTTATTCTCTGACAAAGTAGACTTCAAACCTACATTGATCAAAGAGATAAAGAAGGACATTGCAATACTAATAAAAGGGAAATAGACCAAAAGGAAAATAATATCAATCTGTAACGCACCAGTCAACGCACCCAATTCATCAACATACCTGAAAGACCTAAAAGCATATATAAACGCAACACAGTGGTTGTGGAGACTTTAACACTCCTTTATCATCAATAGATAGGTCATCCAAACAAAAACTCAATAAAGAAATCCCAGACTAAAATATGCAATAGATCAAGTGGACCTATAGATGTCACAGAACATTTCATCCAACCTCTACACAATAACATTCTTCTCAGCAGCCCATGGAACCTCTCCCAAAATAGATCATATCCTAGGGCACAAAGCAAGCCCAGCAAATATAAGAAAATAGAAATAATACCATGCATACTATCTGACCAAATGCAGTAAAAGAAACTCAACAACAAAAGTAAAGACAAAAAAACATGCAAACAGCTGGAAACTAATAACTCATTACTTAATGAAGAATGGATCATCGATGCAATAAAAAGAGGAAATTAAAGTTCCTAGAAGTCAATGAAAATGAAAACACACACCTAACCGGAACCTATGGACACAGCTAAGGCAAGTCTGAGAGGAAAGTTTATAGCCATGAGTGCATATATTAAAAGATGAAAGATCCCAAATCAATGACTAATGAACATCTCAAACTCCTAGAAAAACAAGAACAGCAAATCCAAAACAAATAGAAGGAGAGAAATAATAAAAAAGAGCTGAAATCAACGAAATAGAAACCAAAAAAACCATACAAAGAATTAATGAAAACAAAAGTTGGGTTCTTTGAAAAATAAACAATCGATGACCCTGGCAAACCTTGACTAAAATGAGGAGAGAAAAAACAAATAGTAGAATCAGGAATGCAAAAGGGGAGATACAACAAACACCATGGAATCCAGGAAATCATCAGAGACTACTTTGAGAACCTATATTCAAATAAATTTGAAAATCTAAAGAAATGGACAGATTTCTAGATACATATGATCATCCAAAACTGAACCAAGAGGAATTAATCACCTGAATAGACCTATAACACAAAATGAAATTGAAGCAGCAATCAAGAGTCTACCCAAAAAGAAAAGTCCAGGACCTGATGGATTCTCTGCTGAATTCTATCAGACCTTTAAAGAAGAACTGATACAACCTCCTTAAACTGTTCCATGAAATAGAAAGGGAAGGAAAACTGCCAAACACATTTTGAAGCCACTAATTACACTTATCCCAAAACCAGGCAAAGACACCTCCAAAAAGAGAACTATAGGCCATCTCCTTAATGAACATTGATGCAAAAATCCTCAACAAAATAATGGCAAATCGAATTCAGCAACACATCAAAAAGATTATTCACCAGACCAGGTAGCTTCATCCCAGGATGCAGGGGTGGTTCAAACATACGAAAATCAATAAACGTAATAAACCACATTAACAGAAGCAAAGACAAAAACCACTTGATCATCTCAATAGATGCAGAAAAAGCCTTTGATAAGATTCCAACATCATTCATGATAAAGCTCTAAGAAAACTAGAATAGAAGGAAAGTTCCCACATTATAAAACTATATATACAAACCTAGCCAGCATTATACTTAACGGAGAAAAAAAACGCATTCCCTCTAAAATCAGGAACCAGACAAGGATGCCCATATTCCACTCCTATTCAACATAGTCTGGAATTCCTAGCCAGAGCAATTAGGCAAGAAGAAGGAATAAAAGGAATACAAATAGGTAAAGAAACTGTCAAAATATCCCTATTTTGAGACGACAATGATCCTATACCTTAAAGACCCAAAAACTCTACTCAGAAGCTTCTAGAACATCATCAATAGCTATAGCAAGGTAGCAGATATAAAATCAACATAGAAAAATCATTAGCATTTCTATAACAACTAAATGAGCAAACGAAAAGAAATGTATGAAAACAATTCCATTTACAATAGCCCAAAAAAATCAATACCTAGGTGTAAACCTAACAAAAGATGTGAAGACTCTACAAGGAAAACTATACACTTCTGAAGAAAGAGATTGAGGAAGACTATAGAAAGTGGAGAGATCTCCCATGCTCATGGATTGGTAGAATCAACATAGTAAAAGTCTATACTCCCAAAAGTAATCTACAATGTTTAATGCAATTCCCATCAAAATTCCAATGACATTCATTAAAGAGATTGAAAATCTACTGTTAAATTTATATGGAAACACAAGAGGCCACGAATAGCCAAGGCAATACGTCAAAGAACAATGCAGGAGGTATCACAATACTGACTTCAAACTAATTACAAAGCAATAATAAAAAACAGCATGGTACGGCACAAAACAGACATGAAGACCAGTGGAAACAGAATAGAGGATCCAGATATGAAGCCACACAACTATACCAACTTATCTTGACAAAGGAGCTAAAAATATACGATGGAGAAAAGCAGCCTCTTCAACAAAAACTGCTGGAAAACTGGTTAGCAGTCTGCAAAAAACTGAAACTAGATCCATGTATATCACCCTATACCAATTAACTCAAAATGGATCAAGGATCTTAATATCAGACCCAAACTCTTAAGTTGATACAAGAAAGAGTAGGAAATACTCTGGAGTTAGTAGGTATAGGTAAAGAACTTTCTCAATGAACCCCAGCAGCACAGCAACTAAGAGATAGCATGATAAATGGGACCTCATAAAACTAAAAGCTTCTGTCATCAAAAGAAATGGTCTCTAAACTGAAGAGAACACCACAGAGTGGGAGAAAATATTTGCCAATATACATCAAGAGGACTGATAACCAGAATATACAGGGAACTTAAAAAACTAAATTCTCCCAAAACTAATGAACCAATAAAGAAATGGGCATGTGAACTAAACAGAACTTTCTCAAAAGAAGAAATTCAAATGGCCAGAAAACACATGAAAAAATGCTCACCATCTCTAGCAATAAAGGAAATGCAAATTAAAACCACACTAAGATTCCACCTCACCCCTGTTAGAATAGCCTATCATCAGCAACACCCACCAACAACAGGTGTTGGCGAGGATGCGGGAAAAAGGAACCCTTTACACTGTTGGTGGGAATGTAGACTAGTACAACCACTCGGAAAAAAAATTTGGAGCTACTTAAAAAGCGGACATCGATCTACATTTGATCCAGCAATACACTCTTGGGATATACCAAAAGACTGTTACTCCAGAGGCACCTGCACATCCATGTTTATTGCGGCACTATTCACAATAGCCAAGTATGGAAACAGCCAAGATGCCCACACTGATGAAATGGATTAAGAAAATGTGGTATTATAACAATGGAATTTTATGCAGCCATGAAGAAGAACGAAATGTTATCATTCGCTGGTAAATGGATGGAATTGGAGAACATCATTCTGAGTGAGGTTAGCCTGGCCAAAAGACCAAAAATCGTATGTTCTCTCCTCATATGTGGACATTAGATCAAGGGCAACACAACAAGGGGATTGGACTATGAGCACATGATAAAAGCGAGAGCACACAAGGGAGGGGTGAGGATAGGAAGACACCTAAAAATAGCTAGCATTTGTTGCCCTTAATGCAGAGAAACTAAAGCAGATACTTAAAGCAACTGAGCCAATAGGAAAAGGGGACCAGGAACTAGAGAAAAGGTTAGATAAAAAGAATTAACCTAGAAGGTAACACCACGCAGGAAATCAATGTGAGTCAATGCCCTGTATAGCTATCCTTACTCAACCAGCAAACCCCTTGTTCCTTCCTATTATTGCTTATACTCTCTCTACAACAAAATTAGAGATAAGGGCAAAAATAGTTTCTGCTGGGTATGGAGGGGGAGCGGGAGGGGGGAGTGGGTGGTAAGGGAGGGGTGGGGGCAGGGGGGAGAAATGAAACCAAGCCTTGTATGCACATATGAATAATAAAAGAAAAATGAAGAAAAAAAAAAAAAAAAAGAACCACAACATTTAACATACCACTCCATAAGGGCACTAAAAAAAATAAAAACATGTATCTCAAAATGAACACTTCTCAAAATATCGCATCATCAGTTGTTTTCAGTTCACTTTTTGTGATGGTTTGATTGGTTGGATTGAGTGTGTGGGTGTGTATGTGTGTTGTTCTTAAACAGAGTTTTATATATACCTCAGGCTGGTCTCAAACTCATGAATTACCTGTTCCCCTTCTATTGTTTGGTATTACAGCCTTGGACAACTATGCTAGCTGTGCTGTTGTGTTTTTTGTTATGTACTACCTTTTTATAAATAAGTTTAAATAGACAAAAGAGGGGATTATAAGAAATAACATTATAAAGAGTTAGAAAACATACAGTTTTCTTATAACTGTGTGGTACAGGAGGTATTTTTAAACAATGCACAAAATGCAGATTCCACCATGAGAGAATTGACTAAAAAGGATAAAATCTGTAAACAATAGAGGGAAAATAACAATAAATACCATACATTGACAGCAACAAAGAACTGAATCTCATAACCAGGTAAACTGTTATTCAGGAACGGAGGTGAAACTAACCTCCATTATATGCCTTCATATAAACAACACTGAAAAGATATAGTTCAGGAAGAAAATAAAATCTAGGGATAGGAGTTAGATACAGAAAATAAAGATAAGCAATAAATGTGGCAAACATATATAAATTGAGCCAAACACTCATTATGGAAATAGTAATAACAACTTTGTTGGATATAAAAATAGGACAGACCATATGTGAAGAAGAAGGTGATCACACTATTACCCCAAAGCTTCTTATAATCTTTGCATTGTTCCAAAGAAGAGTAAAGACTCGAATTTTTTTTTGAACCAGACTCTCTATGTTGGTCTCCAATTCCTAGGCTCAAGTGACCCGACCTGCTTTACATTCAAGCAGTTGAGACTACCTGTACATGCTATTAACATGTTATCATGCTCAGATCCACACTAACTGCCTTGAAAGACAAGTAACAATGTTAGTTTTACAAAGGTGAGTATGTAATCCAAAGCAGCAGAAGAAAATGAAAGAATGTTCAATCAACCCAATAAAAAATAAAGAAAAAGAAACTAAAGGAAATCACTCCAAATAGAGTACTAAATATACTCAAATAATACCACCAGAATATCCTATTTTTCTAAAAATAAAGCCAGAATATTAAATGTGAGAAATTAAAATACATTTGCAAAAATTATCTTTAATGAACTTCTCAGGAGAGCTGACTTAGAACAATAAACACAAAGGAAAGGGATAAATTCAGGAACTGGCTAAAAGTATTGTCCAGCCAAATAGCTAGAGGATGCTCGCAAGCAGCAGAGCACTTGCCTAGCAAGCTTGAGGCCCTGAGTTTAATCCCAGTACCATTCCAAAATAAAACCTATTTATAATACTATAACTCTTAAAGTATAAAAAAAAGACAAGGGTACAGTAATTTTTAACATTTTTTAGATAGGATCTCTTATGTAGTTCAGGCTGGCCTCTAATAACTGGGCTCATGTGACCTTTCCACCAGAGCTATGCACCACTGAGCAGGCAGTACCACTGCAACAAACACATTAAATATTTTAATGTGTTATACAGAATGAATAAACAGATGATCCCTATTCTCAACGGGTACACTGCCACTGCGAAAAAAAATCATTTGTACATGACACAATTAGCTGTAAAGAGTATAAAGCTCTAACTACATAACAGAGATTAAGTTAATAAATTCAGAAAAAGAAAGAGCTTGGTGTGGCTTTCAGGTAAATCAAGTATTTAATTTCATTTATATGAAAAATCTAGAATAATAACAGAGTCAGAAGGTACATTGTGGTTCTCTGGGTTGGTATGAAGTTAGAGGATGAAGATTTCTTTTCTACTAATGAAAATAGCGTATAATTATATTTTATAATTGATAGACAAACTCTGTGAACATAATAATTAATCAAATAAATTTTAAGTAAGTGAAAATTCATGAAAGAATTATATACTCCAGAAAAGAGAGAAACACTCAAGATTTGAAAAGCTAGGCTAGACAGGCATATGGAAAAAGAGGCAAACAGCATGGTGGTTTAAAGGCGATGGAGGGTTCAAATCATGTGAGTGCACTTAGCAGCAAAAAAACAATACCACTCAAAAAACCCAGACAGACCAAGTGGCCAACCAGAGGACTGGCAACTCCTCTTTCCTACATTGTAATGACATCTCTGTATCATCAGCCTTGCAAAATTGGCTGTTCCCATTCATGCATCTGACAAATGCATGACAACACATCCAAAAACTCCATACAAGTACAAAAAAGCAGTAAATGCATGTCTAGGAAATCATACACCTATTCATAGCTTCCTTGCCTTTTCTCTCCCTTCACATCATAAATAATCATCCCCTTCATTAAAGTTTGCTATAAAATGCTATCCAAAATCTTTGACCAATGCTACTCTCTCCTGAAAAGCCACATTCTTCTCAAGTGTTGTATTCTAACTCTGCAATAAAACTTCATCCCAATTCGTCACTTAGTCTCATCTCTGAATTCTTTCTCTGATAGTGACAAGAACCTGAAACATTTGAGTACAGGTCTTAGGTCTGGGTCTCCCTATTTTGAGACCTCCCCAGCCTATACTACTATGAGTAAAATGACTTTTAAAACAGCTATATGATCCATGAACCTTTTTATGAAGTAGCTAGATCAACAATGCAAACATGAAAGGAAGGGAAAAGGGGAGTCAGTGTGAAACATGGCTGAACTAGCAAGATCCACTGCTTGTCAACCTCCACTGCAATACATACACACACACACACACCACACACACAACACACACACACACAGGACCAAAACATACATAAACAACCCATGTTCTGACTAGCATTCAGGGAGGGCACGCAGTGCAGCAGGAGTGGTCGGAGGATCACGTGTAGCATGCAGAAGTCAGTGGTAGGCTTACAAAAGAAAATGGAATAAGATCCTCTAACTCTGTTAGCCCTGTCTGCTTACTCAGGAATAGCCTCAAAACCAAGAGGGACTTCTCCCATAGGGAAAAAGGGAAAGCAAAGCACTTAACAGTCTCCGCTAAAACTGAACACCTACAATCTTTAAAGCTGGAGAATTTTGCAGTCTCAAAGTCCATGAAACCACTACAAGGAGCTGCCTGATGCACACATGGTTTGCAATGCTCTTACAAAGGGTATAGAGCACTTGCCTAGGGTTTGATCCCAGTACCATGAAGGGTGAGGGAACCAAAACAAAGAGCAAATTCTATAAAGCAGCAAGAGAGATTGTGAAGTCACATATATCCCCACTAGACTAACCGCAGATTTCTCAGCAATATTCCTGTGAGCCAGTAATGAGAATGGATTATATATTCAGAGGGCTAAGAGGAAAAACTGCCAGCCAAGAATCCTAATGAGATTAGAAATCAGTTCTTCAGAAATGGAGAAGATACAGTTGTTCCTAGAAAAGCAAAAGATGAAGGAATACATCACCTCTGGACTCACCTTACAAGAAATGCTTCAGAGAGTACTTCAACTAGAATCAAAAGAATAATAATTATTGTCATGAAAACATAAATATATAAAACCACTTAAGAGGTAATTCATAATCAAATTCTAAATGTTATGTTGTAGTGATACATAAACTTTTAAGTCTCTTGTAGGGGAATTTAAATTCAAAATGGCCAATGATAACCATCACTAACACCACAGATTTTAAGATACACAGTATAAAAAAGAAGGAAATAAAGACACATGGCTGTAATCCCAGTATTCAGTAAAAATGAGTAGAAGGATTGGGAGAATTTAAGGCCAGCCTGGGCTATGTAGTGAGATCCTTCTCAAGCAAACATCACCTAAAGGAGAAATAAAGGCAATGGAATTGCAAATTGTAGAGAAAAGGATAAAAGTCTGAAAGTCTGGGGTATTTGTGCACAAAATTAAGCTATTATTATTATTTTAAATCAGTCTTTATAACAATAAGATTTTTCACAAATGAGAAATAAATCACACACAAAAAAAAACCCTCCACAATATCACAGGGGAAACAAGAAGACAGGAAAAGATCTATAAAATAACCAGAAAATGACTAACTTTCAAAAATACCTTGAATGTAAATGGAGTAAACTCCCCCAATTAAAAGACATAGGGTGGAGGGGGTGGGGGCAGGGGGGAGAAATGAACCAAGCCTTGTATGCACATATGAATAATAAAAGAAAAAAAAAAGACATAGGGTGGTATGTTCTCCCTTATATGCAGACATTAGATCAAGGGCAAACACAACAAGGGGATTGGACTTTGATCACAAGATAAAAGTGAGAGCACACAAGGGAGGTGTGAGGATAGGTAAGACACTTAAAAATTAGCTAGCATTTGTTGCCCTCAATGCAGAGAAACTAAAGCAGATACCTTAAAAACAACTGAGGCCAATAGGAGAAGGGGACCAGGAACTAGAGAAAAGATGAGATCAAAAAGAATTAACCTAGAAGGTAATACACATGCACAGGAAATTAATGTGAGTCAACTCCCTGTATAGCTATCCTTATCTCAACCAGTAAAAACCCTTGTTCCTTCCTATTATTGCTTATACTCTCTCTTCAACAAAATTAGAGATAAGGGCAAAATAGTTTCTGCCGGGTATCGAGAGGGTGGGGGAGAGAGGGAGGGGGTGGAGTGGATGGTAAGGGAGGGGGTGGGGGCAGGGGGGAGAAATGACCCAAGCATTGTATGCACATATGAATAATAAAACAATAAAAGTTAAAAAAAAAGACATAGGGTGGCTCAATGGCTAAAATTCCAAGACCCCAACTCCATGCCATCCATACACACACACACACACACACACACACACACACACACACACAATAAACACTTCAAGTTTTATGAACACACACAGACTGAAAGCAAAGAGTTGGAGAAAGGTATTCCATACAAATGGAAAGCAAAAGAGAACAGAAATACCTATAGTTACATCAGATAGATAAAATAGGCTTTAATTCATAAACATAAGAGACTTAGGTTATTATATAATAATAAAGGAGTCAATTCAGCAAGAAAATGTAACAATTGTGAACATATTTGACCTAATATTGAGCACCCAAATTTATACAGCGAATATTATTAAAAATATTATTGGATGTAAAGGGAAAGAAAGAATACAATAATAGCAGAGGGTTTTAGCAGTCCACTTTTAGCAACAGAAAAGATCATCCAGACTGAAAATCAATGCAACATTGTCAGATTTAAACAACATTCTAGACCAACTGGACCAAATACACAATTATAGAACACTCCATAAAATGGCTACAGAATATACATTCTCAACAGTACATGGAACATTACCCAGGACTGATCATGTTAGGCCACAAACAAGTCTTCGCAAATTTAAATCTCAGTGTGGTGTGTCACGCCTGTAATCAGCCCCTGCAGGGAGGATGAGGCTAGAATCCTGGATGAGGCCAAAAAAATTAAGTTTAAGTTGACAGAAATCATTTCAAGTATATTATCTTGGCACAAGTGTAACAAACTAGAAACCAGTAATAAAAAGTCATCTATCAAAAAATGTCCAGGAGCTCAAGGGGGTAGAGCAACTGCCTAGCAAATGTGAGGACCTGAGTTCAACTCCCATTAATAAAAAAAATGCAAAGGATTTGATAGTTTTACTGCTAATTACTAGGTAAATATTTAAAGAAATAATATAAATTCTTCTCAAACTATTCTAAAAACTTGAAGTATAGAAATTCTCTCAAACTTATTCTACAAAGCCAGCATAACCCTTATACCAAAATCAGACAAGAATACAAAAGAAGAAAGCTATAGACAAATATCTTTGATGAACACAGATGTAAACATTCTCAGCAAAATACTAGTAAACCAGCATTAACAGCACATAAAAAAATTGTTCACCATGATCAAGTGGGGTTCATCCCAGGGATGCAATAATGGTTCAACATACATAAATCAACAAATTATATACATCACATTTATAGAATAAAGGACAAAGGCCAGATGATCACTTCAACAGATACAGAAAAAGCATCTGATGAAATTCAAAATCCATTCACTAAAAAAAAAAAAAAAAAAAAACTATTACCAAGGGCTTAATCTTAATGTGCACCTCATAGCTCTTTGGCTAGCATGCGTGAGGCACTAGGCTCAGTTCCCAGTACTCAAAAAAAAAAAAAGTTTTGTCTTAATAAGTTAGATATAGAAGGAATATACCTCAACACAATAAAGATGACATATGACAACCCCACAGCTAATGCACCAAATGGAAACTCCTTCTAAAACTCTGGAACCAGAGAATGATGTCTACTCTTGCCACTTCATTCAATATAGTATTGGAAGCCAAAGCCAGAAAAATTAGGCAAGAGAAAGAAATAAGGACATCCAAATTGGAAAGAAGGAAGTTAAACTGTAGACAATAGGATCTTATATATAGAACACCCACAAGATTCCAACAAAAACTCTTAGAATAAATTAATAATTAATTCAGTAGTCTTGCAGTATATAAGCTCAACATGCAAAGTTCACTGGACTAGTGTTTCTACATGGCAATAGAAAACTATATGAAAAACTATACTACTTAAAGCAATTTACAGATTCAATGCAATCTTCAACAAAGTACCAATGAAATCCTTCACAGAAATGGAAGAAAAACAATCTTAAAATTTTTATGGGACCACACAAGACCCCAAATACCCAAAGTAATCTTGAGTAAAAAGAACAAAGAAGAATGCATTGTACACCTGTATTCTATGAAACTACTAGGAAATAGTGGAAAACACTTCATGGCCTTATAATAGATGAGTATTTTTTTAAGTTCACAGAAACACATTCAAGAAAAAAGTAAAATAGCAAAATGGAATTACATCACACTAAAAAGCTTCTTTACAATAAAGGAAAATATCAATAGTGTGTAGAGACAAACCACAGAATGGGACAAGTATGGACAAATTATACATCTGACAAGAGTTAGTTTTCAGAATATAAAAGGAACTCAAACATCTCAATAGCAAAAAAAAAATACAATTTGAAATTGGGCAAAAGATCTAAACATGTATTTGTGAAAAGAAGATATACAAAATAATGCTCACATCACTGGTCAGAGAAATGCAAACCAAGACCACAATGAGATATCATCTCTCCCCACTCAGTATGGCTATTATCAGAAAGACAAGAAAAAATAATACTGGTAAGGCTGTGGAGCAATGGAAACTCTTATGCTTTATTTGTGGGACTACAAATTCGTACTATTATTATAGAAAACAGTGTGGCAGTACCTCAAAAGACTAAAACTAGAATTACCATATGATCCAACAATCCCACTACTGGGCATATATTATATCTAAAAGGAATGAGAGATCACTATATTGAAGAGGGATCTGCATATCCATGTTTATTGAATGTTTAATCAGTTACTGGATTTTAAAATACTATTCACAATAGCCAAGGTTTCAGATCAACCTAAATATGCAACACCAGATGAGTGATTTAAAAAAAGCAGTATACATACACAATGGAATCTTATTCAGCCATCAAAAGGAATAGATCCTGTCACTGGTGACAACACGGACAGAACTAGAGAATATTACATTAAGCAAAATAAACCAGACACAGAAAGACAAATGCAGTATGGTCTTACTTAAATATGGAATGTAGAATGTTGACAGCATAGAAGTAGAGAATAGAATAGTGGTATGACAAGGGGAGGGGGAGAGGGAAGTCAATGAGTATAAACTTACAAGTAGAGAGATGTGTATTTGTTCTATTGTACAATAGAGTGACTATTATTAACCATATTGTATTGTCTGTTCCAAAATAGCCAGAAAAGTTTTGGAATGAAAACTTTGCATTCCAATTTCAAAGAAATTGTGAGGTAACGACACTGATTTGATCATTAAACAATGTACATGTATTGATCATCACATTATACCCTCTATTGACAATTAATTGTGGCTTTAACTGTAAACATTTTTACTAAATAAAGGAACAGGAAAATGGCACACTAGGAAATACCAATATAATGAGAGTTACATAAATCTATTTATAGGAAAAAAGAGCTTTTAAAGAAAATAAGCATCATTAGAGATAAGAAGAATAGTTACATAGTGATCATTAGTTTATACTTACCACTAGAATCACCATGTTCTCCAATAATCCAACCATGGCAGCTTGTGGGATGGATATCCAGCTTCTCTCCAATTAGGTAACGGAAACGGGCAGAATCTAGATTACAACCACTTCCAATTACTCGACTTACAGGTAGGCCACTTATCTTCCAGACCACATATGTCAAAATATCCACTAGGAGAACAATTTTATGTTGGAAAAAGATTAATAGTAACATCTTTTTAAATTTTTCTTTCTGAATAGATAGATGACTTGCCTTGGGAGTCAAATACAGATTCACTACAGAGTTAAAAGGGAAGCAAAGAAATACAACCACTTACACAACTTTTTTAAATGTTAATTATTCACTACTAGAACTTGAACACCAAAAATCGTTTTTTAAGTTACTGTAAGTCCCTATCTGTGTATCTAAGAATCAGTCACTCAACTCTACCTTCTTAACTAATCTCCTAGATATCTTCATGAGTGATTAAATCTATAAAAACTCAGTGCATGATATAGTTTGAATGAGTGTAGTTTATTATACATATTACCTCAATGAAGTTTTAAAAACAGGAAATGATATAAAGTGGTCATCCTTACGCAGTTAAAAGGAGGAGAAAATACTCACCTGGGTTTGTAACAATAATCATTTTACAGTCAGGACTATGATGGACTATGTCAGGAATGATTGATTTCATGATGGCTACATTACGTCGGACCAGGTCAAGGCGAGTTTCTCCATGCACTTGCCTGGCACCTGCTGTGACAATAACCAATTCGGAGTTTTCAGATACCTTGAAATCTAAAAAGGAAATAAAAGACAGTATTTGGATCCAGACTGCCATAGTCACTGTGCCTTAACTCTTTAAAAAGAGTCTGTTGTATACTCTTGATATTGAAGTACTCATCTATCTTCATGTCTGGCATCTAGAGATTGACAGATTTACCATGAAGTAATATTATCTTGTATGAATGGAAGGAAGGCTTGTCAATACTACTTGCCAATTTTCACATAGGCACCTCCAAAGTTCTTATAATGACAGAAGCTATCACCCTCTTTTACCCACATTCCCATTAGTTATTTAGGCCCAAGGCAATGAAAATAATCATCTTACAAACACCATCATGAATCAGAAGTTTAGCACTCTGATGATTTGTGCATCTGTTTTAAGATGCAAAGGTGAGAGTATATTTTCGTTTATTATAAGGGGCTGTATTTGACTTCATTCCTATAGAAGAGTGTATAAGAAATATATGTCCAATTTTTATACTATGAAATTAACAACTCTGGTATAAACCACACAAATTAATAGAACATTGCCAATGTATTAGAGACCCCTGTGTGTCCCTAATAGATTAAATTTACATCCTTCATATTCAGACCACTCTTCTGACTGGTGAAAAATCAAAACCTTACCTTAAGAAGATTTTATCACCTATGCATATTTAAATCATTTTATTTGTTTTTGAGCAATAAGGTATATATCCCTTTACCTGAATATTACGTGATATTCATCCATGGTTTTTTTTTGCTCTGCATGTACTGCTGTTCATCCATATCAATAAGTATCCTGGTAATGTTCACTCACCTGCATTAATCTATCATGCTGAGTAATTTATAAAACTTATGCTGGTTTTCCCTGAATCTTTTCCAGTTTGGGGATATTACAAATTAATCTGTAATATATTCTTGGGTATGTATCCTATGGTAAATGTGCACAAGTTTCTCTTGGAAATATACGTAGGAGTCCAATTCCTATCTTGACGAGTAGATTCCGTTCAAGTTGATCAGGTAGTTTTTAAAAAAATAGCATTATTGTAATGCATTCAACAGGCCATGCTTCCCAGAACCTTCCCATTTAACAGTGTTTTGCCAAACTAATGGGTATGTAATTGTGTATTGGTAAGGTTTTTATTTTCCATTTCTTTGTTAATAATGAGATCATAAGTAGCGGCAGCTGCCAGCAGCTATCTAAAAAAACAAATAATCAAAAATACAAAAAAAAAAACCCCATAATACAGAAAATAAAGAAGGAGACCAGCGAAAGGATGAAAAGGGATAAGAGAGGGTAATGGGGAAGCTGAATGTGAACAAAGTATGTTATACACTTGTACAAAAAAAATCACAAAGGAACTCATTATTTTGTACAATTGATATATGCTAGTAAAAAATTAAAATTGTCCTTTTAGCATTGTGAGAGAAATAAAAATGAAAGAAAATCATAAAAACTTAGTAGAATTTTGTGATTGGTTTGATTTTTGAGTGTCTTTAAATTTTTTGTACTTTAAAAAAAAAATCAAGGACTGGAGGTGTCACTCAAGCAGTAGAACACCTGCTTAGCAAGCATGAAGCCCTCAGTTCAAACCCCAGTTCTGCAAAAAAAAAAAAAAATTGAAATGATCATTATTGGTGTGCTTTAAGAAAGACATTAATTGCAAAACTCCAATTAGCTGAGCTATTCTCAGAGGTCTTGCCCTATAACCAGAAAAATCAACAAATATACTCCTAAGTACATTTACATGTCTTAGGTCAACATAAAATGTTCATGGTGACTCTTCCTAATATTTTAAATGAAGCAATCACCTTCAGTGCCAATCATGTTAGGTAAGAGAGTTTCTAATGTAGCACAATAACCTAAGCCATTGAATCACATTACCAAAGAGTATACTATCTACTCTAGTGTATGATAAAATAATTATTTCCCCAGTTTTCTGAGGTTTTTTAATTGACAAACACATGATGCTAATGCTAATAGGGCCAACTTCTCCATTTCCTGTGTTCTTTGGCTTTATGCTATGCCTTGAAACCTAAATCTCTGTAAACACAGAAAGAAACCCAGGTGAAAGAGTATGTGATAATATTACAAAGCTATTCAAAACTGCATATCCTTGGGAAAATATGTAAGACAAAATGAAAAGTTTAAAAGGGTTGATATAAGTTAGTAAATCAAAAAACAAATGCATAGAAAAGAAAAAGAAGCAAATGATGTTGTTGACAGAAGAGATTCAAATTATACTTTATACTTCTCTATATTCTCCAAATTTCCTCCAATGATAATGAAATGTGTTTTTTTAAAAAAAAAAAAGCTTCTACATTTTATGTACTAATGACATACTGATAATTTGAATTTTATATTTATTAGCATTAGTTTGTTAAAATTCATTACTTTCTTAAAGCTCTGAAAATACTTTATAAAGCTAAAATTAACCTTTTCCATAGATAATCTTTGGAGTACGAAGGAAAACACTGCCATGCAGAAGATCCAATGTTTCTCCCTTCAATTTGTCCACATCAGAATCAACAATGGCAAGTTCATCAGCCAATTCCTAGAAAATATGAAAGTTCTGAATAAACTGTTCATACTTAAATTTTAATAGAAAGAGAATTTTCAAATGGCTACTTCATAATCAAAAGAGTCTCATGTTTTTAATTAGAAAAAATGATATGAAGATACTTGCTAAATGTGCCTAGAGTGACCAGAAGTCAAGGTAAACAACAGAATATAAGAAAATTACTGTTTGCACTCACATAACTGTTAGAAATTTTTAGGACTGAGTTTTTTGCTTTTAGGCAACAGTTTATAAAACCAATGAAAAATTTAAAAATTCTTTAAAAGCATTATTATATTAACATTAAGTTAATTTCTGACTTGGCTGAAGAGGTTTTTAAATATGCATCCTTACTGCGAAACATAAAGTAAGTCACTAATGGTGAACATTGTTTAATCACTTTTTCATACCGCATCTTTTCTGCTTAAACTGCCAGATTCTTTTAAGAATAGTGTTCCAGGATCTTTTCTCCAGGGAGTCCCAGATAACCATAGAAAGGTAAAGAACAAGAGCGTTAAAATCTGCCAAAGGAAAACTGCAATGACCACTTTGCTCTATCTGGGACAAGGAAATAGTTTATAATGTTACCTACACCTAAACACTTTACATGTCCTTTAAAGTCCACCTTTAAAGTCCACCTCTCAATGACATATACAGATATCATGATACTTTTTACAGGTCATCTTCCTCCAAATCAATGGAATGTATTAATATGTTTTAATTAATATTAATTTTTTAATTCATATGTGCATACAATGTTTGGGTAATGTTAATTTTTAATTAATATTTTAATATAGTTTCCACTTATCCCACAATATACATGAACATGACCAAAAGAAGAGGTCCTGTACTATTCTGTTCCATTGACAATTTGCCACAGTATAGTGAATTCTAATAAAAAATTAGTATGACTTCAAACAGAAAGTAAATATCAGAACTCTCACAGTTCAGAGTCCTGAAATTTCATGATAATATGCTTTGGAGTACATTTTTTTTTTCACCAGCTGGGGGTCTTGCTATGTAGCTCAGGCTGGCCTCCTCCTGTTGTCGCCTCCTAAGTGCCGGGGAGTAGGCCTTCTTTGATTCACAGTAGTAGCCCTCAGTGAATCTTTGTATTTATAAATGCATTCCCTGTGGTTTAGAATTTTTGTTTTTATCTTTAGTAATTTTCTTCACTCTTATTCTTATTTTCATACTGAAACATCAATCATACTGGAACTCCTGACTGATCCCCTAATTCCATCTCTTTGATAGTCGACATTTGTCTGACAATACGCTTTCTAGTAGCCCAGTGGAAGGAAGAAGGCCTGTGTCTCACTGTCCAACATTTAAACTTTCATTTACTCCCACAGCTTTCAATAAGATGCTGGTCCTCTACTATCCTTCATATCTTCGGTGCAGAACTTGATTCAGTTTCTCCAAATAAACTCTATCCCTTTGCCCGCTAGGATATGAGAGATCATTAAGCTGATTAAGATACAGAAGGGAACCTGGTAGTTTTCCTTCTCCTCATAAAAACTTTCAACCAATTCTCCTGGTTTTGGCCCTATCCTTCTAACCTTCACCTGTGAGGCACCTGGTACTTCCAATTCATGAGCCTTTTTTGGGGATTCTGAAATTGAATTGGCTTTGCTTCTTCTCATCATCTCTATCTGCAAATTTCCCAAAATTGTCTAACAGAATGAAGTACTTAAAAGCACAGGTCTTTGTTAAGATTTCCATGGTTTATATCCTTTCTTCCTACTAGCTATTTGGACACTGCCAAGTTATTTTACATCAGTGCCTCAATATTCTCATTTATAAATGAAAAAGATATGAAGGTTGTAATACTCATCTATGAAGGTTGTAATAAAACTTAAATAATACTTTTAAAACATTTATACAGGTGAAAGGCTTGTACACCAAAAACTACAAAATACTGCAGAGAAACTTAAAGAAGATACAAATAAATGGAGTGACATCCATGCTTACGGACTGGAAGATTTAATACTTTCAAGATGTCAATATTACCCAAACCCATCTACAGATTCAATGAAATTTATTAAAATTCCAATGATGTTTTTTACAGGAAAAAAAAAACACATCCTAAATCCATATGGAATCTGAAGGGACCTCAGATAGCCAAAGTAATGTTGATTAGGAACAATGTTGGAAGTGTTATATATCCTGATTTCAAAGCTTATGACAAAGCTATAGTCCTCAAAACATCATAGTACTCGCATAAAGACGGACATAGACTAATGGGACAGAATAAGAGGTTAAGAAAATTTCAGCAAGATCATTCAGTGAGGACAAGATAGTCTTTTCATGAAAAGACACAGCGAGAACTGCATATTTACTTGCAAAAGGATGATTATGGACCCTTAATTTATACCATATGAAAAGTTAATTCAAAGTGATTCAAAGACTCAAATAAAACCTAAAATTGGAAAAATATTAGAACAACTTTCATGATATCAAACTTGGCAATCCATGTGTGTGTGTATATGTGTGTGTGTGCGTGTGTGTGTTCCTGCAGTTTAAATTCAGGGCCTCATGCTTGGTCGGCAGGTTCTCTACCATTTCAACCATGCCTCAAGCCTGGCAACCATTTTTTGGGGAATGATGAAAGCGTAAGCAACAAAAGTAAAATATAAATAAGATATTAAACAGGGAAACTTAAGCACATCAAAAGATACATTCATCAGAGAGAAAAGCAAACTCACGGAATAGATGAAAATATTTGCAAATCATATATCTGGTACACGGTTAATGTCAAGAATACATTAAGAACTCTAGACCGACACAAGCGGCTCACATGGGTAATCCTAGCTACTTGGGAGGCTGAGATCAGGAGGGCAGCATGTATAGGCCAGCTTGGGCCAATAGTTCAGGAGACCCCATCTCCAAAATAACTAGAGCAAAATGGACTGGAGGTGTGGCTCATGTGGTAAAGAGCCTTCTGCACAAGCAGAAACCGTGTGTTCAAACACTGTCCCACTAAACAAAAAAGTTCCCACAACTCAACAATAACTAAAACAACCTCATTTTTAAAAGTGACAAAGGGATTCAACAGAGATTTCTGCAAAGACGATATACAAAGAGCTACTAAGCACATGAAAAGACGCTCTGAACAGAAAGAAAAAGAAAAGTCTTCCATTGTTATTTTATCATATTTGCTACTTTTTACAATGAGCATGTAGTAATTATGTAATTTTTAAAACATTAAGCAAAATCCCTTAGAAAATATGAATTTCACCTATTCTTCAAGGAATACAAGCTATTGGATAATTCCCACAGAAAATGTAATAATATTAACAAAATAATCCATCAATCTGTCTCCTATGAGTAAGTTTAAATAGTCTAGCAATGTCTAATACGTATCAACTCCTAATAAATGGCTCTTTTTCTTTTTTGCAATTCCTCCTAATTTTTATTATTATTTTTGTACTGGGGATACATTGTGATATTTACAACAGTTCTTATACTGTATCATAGTTGGATTCACCCTCACCATTTCTTTTTTTTAATTTTTATTTTATTCATATGTGCATACAATGTTTGGGTCATTTCTCCACCCTACCCCAACCCCTCCCTCCCCACCTCCAACCCTCGCTACCCAGCAGAAGCTATTTTGCCCTTATTTCTAATTTTGTTGAAGAGAGGTTATAAGCAATAATAGGAAGGAACAAGGGTTTTTGCTGGTTGAGATAAGGATAGCTATGCGGGGAGTTGACTCACATTACTTTCCTGTGCATGTGTGTTACCTTCTAGGTTAATTCTTTTTGATCTAACCTTTTCTCTAGTTCCTGGTCCCCTTTTCCTATTGGCCTCAGTTGCTTTAAAATATCTGCTTTAGTTTCTCTGCGTTGAGGGCAGCAAATGCTATCTAGTTTTTTAGGTGTCTTACCTATCCTCACCCCTCCCTTGTGTGCTAAAGCTTTTATCATGTGCTCAAAGTCCAATCCCCTTGTTGTGTTTGCCCTTGATCTAATGTCTGCATATGAGGGAGAACATACGATTTTTGGTCTTTTGGGCCAGGCTAACCTCACTCAGAATGGTGTTCTCCAATTCCATCCATTTACCAGCGAATGATAACATTTCGTTCTTCTTCATGGCTGCATAAAATTCCATTGTGTATAGATACCACATTTTCTTAATCCATTCGTCAGTAGTGGGAATGTTTCCATAACTTGGCTATTGTGAATAGTGCCACAATAAACATGGGTGTGCAGGTGCCTCTGGAGTAACCTGTGTCACAGTCTTTTGGATATATCCCCAAGAGTGGTATTGCTGGATCAAATGGTAGATCAATGTCTAGCTTTTTAAGTAGCCTCCAAATTTTTTCCAGAGTGGTTGTACTAGTTTACATTCCCACCAACAGTGTAAGAGGGTTCCTTTTTCCCCGCATCCTCGCCAACACCTGTTGTTCGTGGTGTTGCTGATGATGGCTATTCTAACAGGGGTGAGGTGAAATCTTAGTGTGGTTTTAATTTGCATTTCCTTTATTGCTAGAGATGGTGAGCATTTTTTCATGTGTTTTTTGGCCATTTGAATTTCTTCTTTTGAGAAAGTTCTGTTTAGTTCACTTGCCCATTTCTTTATTGGTTCATTAGTTTTGGGAGAATTTAGTTTTTTAAGTTCCCTATATATTCTGGTTATCAGTCCTTTGTCTGATGTATAACTGGCAAATATTTTCTCCCACTCTGTGGGTGGTCTCTTCAGTTTAGAGACCATTTCTTTTGTTGAGCAGAAGATTTTAAGTTTTATGAAGTCCCATTTATCTATGCTATCTCTTAATTGCTGTGCTGCTGGGGTTCCATTGAGAAAATTCTTGCCTATACCTATTAATTCCAGAGTATTTCCTACTCTTTCCTGTATCAACTTTAGAGTTTGTAGTCTGATATTAAGATCCTCTATCCATTTTGAGTTAATATTGGTATAGGGTGATATACCCAGATCTAGTTTGTTTTTTGCAGACTGCTAACCAGTTTTCCCAGCAGTTTTTGTTGAAAAGG